CCCTCCCCGTACGCTGCCCTATAAAGATCTGTGCGCAGCGGCTTCAAACAGTCTTTGCTAGCCGTCCGCCATGGCGGGTGGGTGAGAGACCCGAGCTAACATGGGGTTAGCTCGTTAAATTACAATAAAGCCTCGTGCAGATTGCAGCAAGCTCTCAAATCCGCCTGGTGATTGGGGTGACCGAGAACGTGGCCTGGGACCCCGGATACTTGAGTTTTCCCGGGGTCTAACAGAGGCAGGAGGTATGGAAAGTGGTAGTTCCCTGTTATTTCCATCTAGTGAACATGTTTTCTCCAGAAAGAAAATGCCTCGAAAGATAACAGAATACCCACAGATTGTCTGGTCTGACAAGCAGGCTGGCCAACTGTGGTGACGTCTTGTTTGTACTCTAACAAATAAAGCTTGTCTGAAGATCAGAGGGCAGAGCTAGCCACTAGTTAACCATAGAGGTCTGGAGGTCTGTACAGACAGACAGGAAGTGAGATGGCTGGGTGGGGAGAGGAAGTTTATATGGTGAGAGGAGACGGGAGCTCATCCCCTCTTCAGCTGAAGTCGGCGAGGTAAGAGCTGGCTGTGGCTTGCTCCTTTGTCTCTCTGGTCTTTCAGCATTTACCCCGATATCTATCTCCAGGTTTTTATTATTTTGACTAATTATAAAACTCGTGCATCAGCCAATATAGCGAGAGGATATTTTGGCATGGACCTGGATTAAGTCCTGCTGCTGTTTCTTGCTGGCTGGGTGACTTCTCTAGGCTCGGTTCCCTTGTCTGTAAAATGGACACAGAAACGTTGACCTTGGAGCATTTTCCAGGGAGTAAACGAGGTGATTTCTGTAAATTCTAAATATACAGTAAACGTTGGCTTTAGCATGCGTCTACATGACAGTCTCTGAAACACTTTACGTTTATGGCTTGTGGGCAGCTGTTAGAGCCTGGGTCCTTTGGACAGATACGGGGAGCCCTGTTTCGATAGGGCAGAACCTTTTCTGATGTTGACTGAACAGTGACCTGGTCTTTAGTCTCCTGAGAGTCCCAGGTTCATAGTGCCAACCTGTCAAGTAAACACAAGACTTCTGTATACGTTGAAAAGAAATGGGAAATGTTTAGCATTGATTCCAGGGTTAAAAAAAAGTCATTTCAAGATACTTATGTGGTTAGCATTATATGTGTTTAAGTATATATAAATAACCAAACAACATATCCTGATGCTTCCTAGGTCACCACCTGCAACTGCATGGTTGGGTTTATTTTACTTTTTTATGATGTTAGGGAGGGAACCCAGAGCCTTTCACATACTAGGGAAGCATGGCGTCACAGAGCTGTGTCTGAAGTCCCACAAGGAATTTTACATGAGGCTGGTTTGGGGGATGAGCCATCCCTGGCTTAACTGGGAAAACATAACCCTTCTTTTTCTTCTCTTGGCTCCAAGTCTGTCTGTCTCTCTCACGAACACACTCATCAGTATCTGAATTGGTAATACTAAAACTTCTGAGCCAAGAGGTAGACACCTATTTTGCCAAAGGCATTGGTCCCCGTGTGATGGTTTAAATGAGAATGGCCCCAGTAGGCTCATACATTTGCCTGTTTGGGCCCCAGTTGGTAAATTGTTTGAGGAGGATCAGAAGGATTAGGAGGTGTGTCCTTGTTGGAGGGGGCGTGTCCTTGTTGGAGAGGGTGTGTTCTTGTTGGAGGGGGTGTGTCCTTGCTGGAGGGGGTGTGTCCTTGCTGGAGGAGGTGTGTCCTTGTTGGAGAGGGTGTGTTCTTGTTGGAGTGGGTGTGTCCTTGCTGGAGGAGGTGTGTCCTTGTTGGAGGGGGTGTGTCCTTGTTGGAGGGGGCGTGTCCTGTTAGAGGAGGTCTATCACTGGGCAGCGGCTCACATGTAAGCTCTCAGCTACTGCTCCAGGGCCATCTTGTCTATTGTCACGGTCCTCACCGTGATGATCACGACTAACCCTCTGGAACTGTTAATTGAGGCCCCAGTTAAATGCTTTCTTTTTGTAAGAGTTGCCTTGGTCTCTGTCTCTTCACAGCAGTAGGACAATTACCAAGACCTCCCTCTAGTGTCACCCCCACTTCCTCGTTTTCCTGGGGACAGGGCACACCTCCAACCTGGGCCTGGAAGTGCCATGCTGTGTGTGATTGCTCTGCTGAGCCTTGCACGCTGATGTTTCCAGACATGCAGAAAGACAGCTGCTCACAAAGGAGGTTGGAGGATAGCCACGAACTGCAAAGCAAACCCTGCAACTCTGGCCAGCGTTCCGGATCACAGTCTGCTTTGGGTTTGAGGGGAACCAGGGTGGAGAAGCCACCACACTTGTTGGCTGGCCTTAGCCCGATCGTGTGACCTTCTCTTCATCCTCACAATGGGGTATCTTGTATTTTGTGTGTGTGTGTGTGTGTGTTATTCTTTCTATGTTCAGAGCTCTGTCCAGGCCACATTGCCTTCCTGGAACAAGTTACTCTGATCACATTTGTGGCATCTCTCAGCATGATGTATTCCCTGATTATTTGCTTATAAGAGTTTCTCTGAACTTTGAGTTGAAACAAAATTGTCTCAGGTTATTTTATTTATTTATTTATTTACTTATTTATAGATAGGGTCTCAGTACATAGCTCTCTCTGGTCTGGAACTCTCTTTGTAGACCAGGCTGGCCTCAAACTCCAGAGATTTTGCCTGTGTCTACCCCCTGAGCGCTGGGACTGAAGGCATGTGCCACCATGCCCAGCTTACTTAGGTTAAGTTTTGTTCAAACTTTTTAGGTTTATTATTGTTGTTTGTTTTACCAAGACAAGGTTTTTCCGTATAGTCCTGGCTGTTTCTGGAACTCACTCTTGTAGACCAGGCTGACCTTGAACTCACAGAGATCTGCCTGTGCTGGGGTTAAAGGTGTGCACCATCACATCCTGAACAAAAAAAGAAAAAAGAAAGTACAAGCCCATATATATGCGTACTTTATATCTTGTATTCAAATCAGAGTCTCTGTAACAATGGGGCCAGGGAGATGGTTCAGTTGGTAAAACGCAAGCATAAGTTCAATCCCCATAAGTCATCTTAAAAGAAAGTACTGTGGGCTGGTAAGTCCATAGTGGAGACTGAGGGTTCACAGGGCACAATGGCTAGCCAGTCTAACCTACTTGGCCAGCCTCAAGCAGGCAAGAGACAGTCTCAAAAGAGCAAAGAGGATGGAATCATGAGGAACAACACCTAATGTTGACTTCTGGTCTACACACTCATGCATACCCATTCACCACCTACACACACACACACACACACACACACACACACACACACAACACACCCCTTCCTCTTGTCAATGTTTGTAGGCCATTCACTCCTCTATCCCCATGGGCTCCCCCCCTCCCTATTCATCCATGTGAGATTTCTGTGTTGGGACAGATACAAGATCTAGGGTAGAAGGCTTAAGATCAGTAGCCTCCAGGAAGAGTGTGCCATGAGGTGATGGGGAACACACTTATAGAAAGATCATTAATTTCGAAGACTCTGTGCAACCATGCAGGCATTTTCGAATTAACCAGTCTGCCAGCTGAGCATGATCTACAAGCTTCTTGACCTCAGGAGTCTTCCTCACATACTCAGGGATAAATTGAGAGTCTCAAAGAGCTTCTTGTGGGCTAGAAATGTCGAGAGAGTTACCACACCAGGAACTACATTGAGGAACTTGGTTAACAAAAAACAATAAATCCATACTATGTTGACATAAGCTATTTTATTAAAATTTATTTTATCAAGCCTGGCAGTGGTGGTGCACACCTTTAATCCCTGCACTCGGGAACCAGAGGCAGGTGATCTCTTGTGAGTTCAATGGCAGCCTGGTCTACAGAGTGAGCTCCAGGACAGCCAGGGTACACAGAGAGACTCTGTCTTGAAAAACCCTGAAAAATGTTTTTATTAATAATAAAATTAGTGAAAACAGCATTTATGTCTTTAAAATTTGCAAACCTATTTGGTGTTTGCTTTAATATAACATTCCTGGAGTCCTGCTTTGCATTCATTCAATCTGTGATGATTTTGGGGGATGGGGTAGTGTTGGGAGTTGAACACAGCCTTGGGCATGCTAGGTAATTGCTCTGCTTTTTAGCTACATTTCCAGCCATGGGATGTTTTGCTTGGGCTATACATAGATACCACATATTGCATTGTAGTTGGAGGCCTCTTGCAGCAGTCTTCTCCTGTAGACTCTTCTTTGATAGTACATGAAACTTGACAGGCAGTAGCTTCTTGAAATTAATTGTAGTGTGGAATCGAAAACACACTGGTTGACGTTGTTTTGTTATATACACTCACAAAAGGGTGACAGAATGAGAGGGGAACATATGTGTTATGAACCCAGGCCTGACCTCATGGATCTTCTGAAGGAGTCCCAGGGAACCTCGGGGTCCCCAAACCTCTTCCAAGAAAGTGGTTTAAGGCAACACTGGAGAGCCATGACCACTGGAGAGCCCCAGGGATGAGCAGACAGCAGAGCGATGAGAATGGGGCTCAAGGCAAACTTGGACATTGGCCTGAAGATGGTGGGCTGTCCCAGGTAGGGGATCTGAAAAGGAGACAAGCCAAGAAGAACAAGGAAATAATTATTTAGGACTTCAGGGCCTTCGAGGACAATTCTGAGCCTTTCTTTAGCAGACTGTAACTGAGGGACAGTCTAGACCACCTCAGTCTTCCTGGGTGGGCAAAAGTCAGGGTCTAACTAGTCATCTGACTTGCATTCAGAGCAATGCTCTGTGCCTATAGGAGGACACGGATTCCCCAGCCTAAGTCCCTTCCAGGCTGTGATGGTGACAAGTGGGATCACTGCAGGATTCGTGCTATTCCCAGAGTCCTTAGGTTTCTTCCCCTTTTACCAAAGGCACACACTCTCTTACCAGTTCCTCCCCAGACCCCTCAAGGTAAGGCTAGCTGGAAGACACACAATCCCACCCATAGATACTGCCGCACCGTGTATGTGCATTTGTTTTCTTTTATACATCACTGTCCTGTCGGGGGTGGTGTGTGTGTGGGGGGGGATTACTATTTCCAGGGCAACCAGCACAGCATAACAGCCTATGTAGAAACCCTC